AAATAAAGTACTTCTACAACAAATAAACAGGTAATTGACAGACAATTATGATAAAGTAAACACGTAGAAGTTTGCCCCTCGGGCACAACATCAACAATTTCCGCCCCTCGGGCTCAATCTCACATCACAATAGGTACCCGCGCTCACTGGGGGTGTGCAGACTCCGGGAGGCCCCCCTTACGGCGCAAGCACAATATTGAGCCATCTTGTGGCATCAAATCTAGGCCCTCGGCCTCATATCAATCAAGAAACCTCGTGGCATATTTTTGTATCTCAGGCCCTCGGCCTCATAACAGTATCAATGTATCCTCACAACTAGGCCCTCGGCCTTACTCAGCCCAAAAATCATCACAAGCCTCTCGGGCAATAGTAAAACAATATTTCCCAGCCAAAAACATTATTTAAAAATATCATTTAAGTCTCAAAACTGAGTAAAGATGGCTGAGTAGTAAAATAGTGGAAAATAACATGACTGAGTTCATGTAATAAGTCAAAACAGTGAGAAAATAGTAATAAAAATCTCCAAAGGGTTCAAATAGTTGACACAAAGCCCAAATTTGGCAATCAACCCAAATCATGATGATAGCAAATAAGTTTCGATCAAATACGCGGTAAAATCATCAATCGGGACGGACCAAGTCACGATCCCTAATAGTGCACGACCCCACGCTTGTCATCAAGCGTGTGCCTCACCTCAATATAGCACTACGATGTGCGATACGGGGTTTCAAACCCTCAGAGCATCATTTACAATCATTACTCACCTCGAACAGGCTAAATCTCTAACTCATGACACCTTTGCCCCTCGAATCAGCCTCCACGCGCATCGAATCTATCCAAAATCAGAACGAATATGTCACAATATGCTAAGGATACAAAGCCCAAGCGAAAACAATCGAATTACCACAAAATTCCAGAAATTGGTCAAACCAGACCCCCGGGCCCACATCTCGAAATTTGACAAAATTCAAAAAACTAGAATCCTTATACTCTCACGAGTCTAACCATATGAAAATTATCCAATTCCGATACCATTTGGTCCTTCAAATCATCATTTTATATTTTTGAAAGATTTCACAATTTTTTTCCCCAAATTCCATCCCAAATTACGAATTAAATGATGAATTCAATGATAGATTCATGTACTCTAGCCAAATCTGAGTTAGAATCACTTACCCCGATGAATTTCTTGAAAAACCTTCGAAAAATCGCCAAAATCCGAGCTCTCTAGGTCAAAATATCAAATAAAACTCAAAACCTCGTATTTATAGAGTAACCCACAGATTTCCACCTCCGCGGACCGCACGAAGTCGACCGCGGTCCACACAAAGCCAGTGCGCTCCGCACAAAAATGACCGCGGCCGTACAGGCTTTATTATTTTGGCCATAACATTCGCTACAGATGTACAAATTTCAATATCCTTACTTTTCTGGAAACTAGACACGAAGGGCTACACCTTTTGTTTTTAGATCATCTCAAAATTTTTTGTAGATCAAAAGATATGAGCTTCTGAAATAGGACTAGTGAAATATTCCCCACCGAGACCGCACAGCATTTTGTGCGGTCCGCACAGCACCTACCGCGGCCGCACTTCATTTTGTGTGGTCCGCACAGCACAAACCGTGGCCGCACTTCTTTTTGTGCGGACAGCGCGGGTGGGTTTCGAGGCCTGCAACCCTTCTGGACCTACTACAGCTATGATTTTCTGCCTAAAACATCCCGGAACTCCCGGAACTTCAAACCAATTGTACCAACACATCCCATGACATCGTCCAAACTTGTTAAAAACTTCGGAATGCTCACAACAACATCAATCACCAATTTAACATAGGATTCAAGCCTAAGAACTTCAAGAACTCTTAAATTATGCTTTCGATCAAAAAGTCTATCAATTCTCGTCTGAATGACCTAAAATTTTGCACACACATCTCAAATGACACAATGAAGTTACTGTCACTCTTGGAATTCCATTCGGACCCTTATATCAAAATCTCGCCTATCAACCGGAACCGCCAAAAATATCAATTTCGCCAATTTAAGCCTAAATCTTCTCTACAACTCCAAAACCCATTCTGATCGCGCTCCTAAGTCACAAATCACCTCTCAAAGCTAACCGAACCATCAAAACTCACTTCCGAGCCTTCTAACACATAAGTCAACATTCAGTTGACTTTTCCAACGTAATCCTTCTTAAAAGAGGCTAAGTGTCTCAAACTTCACCAAACTCATTCTGGACTCGATCCGCCCAATCCGATACCACAAAAACACGGATAACGAAGCATAAAGAAACTGAAATGGGGGAAACAGAGCGGTAACTCATGAGACGACTGGCCGGGTCGTCACAACTTCATTAATAGGCTAATTAACCACTAAAATAATTAAGTAAATATTTACCGAGGGACTTACCGACGGCCTCCCTCGGTATTGTGTAATAAAAAATGAAAAATAATTTATGTATAACATTATATATTTAAATTACCGACGGAAGTCCATCGGTAATGTAAGAACAAAATTCAAAATATTATGTAAATGCAATAGCGATGAGTACATCGATAACTTTATTTTCTTTTTTTTTTAAATTTTTTTTAAAAGCATCGAGAGACACCGTCGATACCTAAAAATATAAATACAAAATATTCCGAGGGAGTCCGTTGGTAAATTACCGATGCAGTACATCGGTATTACCAATTAAATTTTGACCGGTCAAAATATCATTATTTACCGAGAGTTATCCGTCGGTTATTTTTTTTTTTTAAAAAATAGAAATTAAAAACTTCAAAAGTACCGAGGGACTCCGTCGGAAAGTCCTTCGGAATAGCGACGGAAAAAGTCTGTCGGTACTGCTGCGTCGGTAAATAGCTGTTTTTAGTAGTGTCATACAACTTACTTCCGTAATCTTTTTCTAATGGTGGAGTTCCACAGACATAGTTAAGTAATTAAAAGTTATGCTCTTTCAAAAAAGTTTAAATTTTTTAATGAGATGATCACACATATTAAACATTGTATGTTGTGAAAATGGGCCACAATAGACCTACCTTGTTAAGTAAAGTGAAAATAACCTCACAAAACCTATGGCTGAAGGTTAATTAGTCCGATCTTACTACCATGTTATGATAGAGCAGAAAAAAGATTTATATATACCATGTTAGTGCACAAAAAGAGTTGCTCTTAGTGAGAATTGAACTCTTATTTCGTGCATTACTCGTTACTTTCATTGTAATATTTTAACTTCATGATCAAAGTTTTTGTGGTAGAGAGTTGTATTTCCATTGCCTCAATAAAGGTGATGGAGGGAGAGGTCACTGGAACAGTTTGCAGCTTTTGAAAAATTATGTAATAAAAAAGGAAATTGAAACATTTAAAGGGGGCTTATGTCTCATAGATGGAAACTGGCTTATGCAATAAGAAGTTAATTAAGGACAAAATGTTGTTTGACTTCAAAAACTATAAGAATTGTTTGTCTTGAACGATAGAGTCCTTAACCTCATAGTTATCGCAAGCTGGCATTTCATTTTATGAAAACAAAGGATTCACGAAGAAATATTCATTAAACACAAGAAAAAAAAAATACATGGAGTACAAGACACAAGATTGTTTTAATTAAAGGGATGTGCATTTTAAGATATGTTATCCTTGTTTTTTTGAAATATTTACGGCACCTTAAAAAAAAATCTAGGTGGAGTGAGCTCATGAATATAAATTAAAGGACGAGAAAGCAGAAGAGGAAAACGTTTTTGCTACATTAGTTGGAACCTTGCACTGAATTAATATAACATGGCAACAATATAATTAGTTAGCAACTAAAATCTTGTATGTATACTGTTATACAGTTGTTAGTTTCATAGATACGCCTAAAAATAAGCTAATTCTAATTATTATCTATTTTAATTGCCCTTATGCGGGTGACTAGTAATGGTCTTATCATTGTGTTAAACTTGATACTGGTCATTTATGTGTATCACTACACTAAACACAAAAAATAAAATAAAAGAAAACATAAGTATATATCGATGGTAACGACATGAAAACTTAGCTTGTCATAAGTGAACTAGAATATATACTAGATAAGTTTCATGTAAAAGAAGGAGAATAAATATATTGCAATATTTGTCAATGTCTAGACATCTTTCGTGAATTCCTATAGTTATTTGCTCTTTAAACCTTTGAAATCTACGTTGTGTATGTCTCTAGTGTTGGCTTAGAGGAGTTTGAACTCCTATAAATTTAATTTCTCATACACCAATTCATACAACTCAATAATCGATCCCTTCCTATTTGAGTGTTTTAATTTCTTGGTTAACCTCAAAATAATACTTATACAATGATTAGATATGTCGTATTCCTCGTTCTTCTCTCAATTTGGGCTAGTGTTGAAGGTCGAAGTATCAATCGATTCTTAACAGAAGAATCGACAGGGACCAAATGGGCTGTACTAGTTGCTGGCTCCAATGGATGGTGGAACTACAGGCACCAGGTTATTATCATCGATACCAACTATATTTCCTCTAAATTATCTAATTTTTGTTAATACAATTAATTTTCCAAAGCTTTGTAATGTTATAATTGTCATTATGGTGGTTAAATAACATTATCAGTTACTTTACAAATTGTTAAACATTCCTTCACAAGTTTGAACTAAAACATGCTTATTTTTAGACTTGAGTTAGAGTTGAGACCTTATACCGATAGAGTCCCTATCTTCCTCATTTATTTTTCTATAGCAAACGGCGAAATGACCATGTATAAAACCACGTAGAGTAGAAAGGATAAGAAACTTCTCACAAACAAAAAAAATTATGTTGGATGGACTTTTTTAAACCATTATTTATATTTTGATCCCATTAAATTTTTATTTTAGAAAATAGCCTTGCGTCAGAATTTTAAAATACGCTCGTTAGAATTGTGAAGTACTCGCCAAAATCTTAAAGCACAAAAAATTCTGATGATCACCAGAATTTTGAACCACAATAAATTATAACGATCACCTCATCACCTGAATTTTCAACCATAATACTGAAAAATTCTGGTTATTCGTCAGAATTTGTGGTAAAATCCTGACGATCACCATAACTGCTCCATGCTTTAAAATTCTTGCTACGAAAAAAATCCTGATGAGTGAACTTTAAAATTCAGGTAGGGTTTTTCTTTTCTCAACTTCAATTACGGGTTAAAAAATTAATAGTGACACCAAAGTGTCCCAACCAAAAAACTCCAAAGGTAGTCACTCTATGAGTAATTTATTTTTTTTGGAAAATCTTAATAGTTCAGTTGGTTAATTAACTCAACTTTTGCCTCACTTTGTAATCCTCTTTCCCAATTGCCTTCCCCTGCCCCTGCCCCATATGTATGAAAAACGTTTTAAAAAAAAATCTCATCTTTGATCTTTTATTTCGGACTAGTCATTCCAAAATAATTTCAAATAATCAGATATTCCTAAACCTTTTGCTTGTATCAACTTTAGGAGCTAAAATTTAGTATAGACTTTATAATTAATGTCACGTTAAAAGATAGTAAAACTGAACAAAAATAAGTTGATAACGCCCAACTATGCCTTTCAAAAGACAAAGCGGTCGCTGCAAATATAATCCGGTTTTTAAGTCCGGAATCGAATCCTCAGGGAACTAACCTATCTATTACCCTCTTCGGCAATGTTATTATCAATTCAATCAATCTCTAGAAGCAAGATTTTTTGATCAATAACGATTGAGTTTTTGTTTAACTACTTCGACTACTATTAAAAATAGCGGTAAGATAAAACAAAGATAATTCAATGGTAAAAAAGGTTTAGGGCAGTGATTTTCCCAATTGCTAGTTTAGGTCCTGACTCTTCCGCTATAATCTCGCCATAATACTCTATGAGGATTAAGAGCTATAGGTTATCGTAATTATCTCTCGATCAACTACAATAATTTACTAGAACATTCTCTCGAACTACTCTAGCTGACAATAGTTATGCAACTCTAAAGTATCCCACCAAAGTTTTGTTATCTCTAAACCCACTTTTAAGTTCAAGTAATGAATCTCTTCAATTACCCAAAGTGGTGTTGTTCAACCGCTGTCTAACCTAATACTCTTTCTCAAGCAATATAAGGTAATTATACACGATTAATCAAGGACCCATTCAATTAATCACCATACAAAACGTAGTTGAACAATCATATCATAAATCCGACTCGATTATAACAACTTGAGTCAAAACATCAACCAACAATTGGTTCCATCAACCCTAGATAAGTAGTTAGCTACTCATAACAAAACAAGAGAAAACTACTAAATTGTTCATAATGTAAAATTGCAAGATTTAAAAGGAAATAGAAAAACTCTAATGTTTTGTTGATCTTCTCACACTTGTTCTTCCTCCAAAATTAGTCTAAAATTAGCTTTCCCCTTCAGTTGGGCGAGTTTCTAAAACATATAAGGGTTTTACAAAAGGTTCCCCGAAATTACACTTTGGTCCTCAAACTTCCAGCTGTGTGAACAATGCACCACGGTCGCGGCCAACCGCGGTCGACCGCGGTGAAAACTGACCTTTCTGCCTCACTTTAGTAACCAACCGCGGTTCACCGCGGTCGCGGTGGCCTTCTTACCCAGGCCATTTATGCTTCTTTGTGTTCGGGTACTTCTCGATAGGGTGTTTTTCTTCACATTATCGCCTCCAAAACACTCCATGTTGCTTCCTCTCATATAATATTCCCTGCTAAACAAAAGAACACTATTTAGAGCTATTTGTTGGCAATTTATCTATAAAACAATAATAAAGTATGGTCATATTAAGGTGTAAATATCAACTATATCGCCTACTATCAACACCCCACACTTAAATCATTGCTAGTCCTCGAGCAATCCACCACACTCCATCAAAATTTCTTCCCTAAGCTTTTCCTTTAACGACTAACACCATGAATATTTTACAACAATTTGCACCTAGTAGTGAACAACCTTTACCTCAAGAGTCAAACTTTTTGTACCATGCAACATTTGTACTTACTCAAACTACTCTATACAAGAGTCAAGACTTACCTTTCCTTTGTGGATCACATGCCCTCACATCACACAAGAGAGTAGTTCCACATATAACAACGATAATTAGAACAAGTAGGAACTAAGATAGACAAAATTCGCTCACTCTCAGAAAGAACGTTCACATGCCACAAAGATGCGCCATAGGCTTGCCCGTAGTGTAAAACTTTACTGATTGAGCCCATTCAGTCTAAGATCAACAGGACTTTACTTGGTTGTAATGTAATCTAAGAGACGGGTAGGATATATTTAGATATAGTGACTAACCTCCCTAAGCATTTTTAATACAATTACATTAATCTTAAAGATCATAGTTGTGCCAACCAAACACTCCACCTCATTTGTTTAAAACATCCCCATCCATTAGGTGCAATTTGTACAAGCCACCACTTATCAACCATTATAATTGTTTATGACCCATATTTTTTTTCATGGTGCTTTTTCTTTTATGCTTCAAATTCCACACCTTTTCTCTATCTCAATGGTTCCACTCAAAGACCAAACAACCACCCCACACTTTTACTTTTGCATATTTTCATTACCTTTCAAGTGCTTATTGGGAGGTAAAAGGGTTCACACGACAAGCTATTCAAACAATTGGGTAAGGTTCGCAATGTGGTTGCCAAAAAATAGGCTTATAGGCTCAACGGGGTTAACTACGATGTATTTCATTCAGGTGAGTTTACTTTATATATCTGGCTCAATAAAGAAATGCCTATATCACTTCTAAAACTGAAAGAAACTACTATTTCGCTTTGCAAACACACAGGGCAAGTTCTAGGCATCAAATATGAAACATGGAACATAGTAAAACTCACACACACATGGCACGTGACTCACTCCGGATTGGTTTATCAAGACATTCTCTTTTAAGTGTTCAAGTTAGATACAAACGTACAATTTTAAGGCACTCTAACAGGATTTAACCAATGAAGCTAGGCGTTAGACTCTAGTGTCTATTGTGTTCAGGTGTAAAAAATCGATTTTCGCTCGTAGCCCATTAATCCTAACCTAAAACTAAAAAGAACAAACACAAAAATTACCTATATCCGGTTCAAGCTAAACCTTTGGAAAAGAACCGTGGCCCAAAGAAAAACCAAGGGGGAGTTAATACACTACCTAAAAATAAAATAAAAAATCTTTTTAGTCTTTTCTCTAGACTACTTCCCTCAAGAAAATTGTTTAAAGGATCCTCATCAGGAAGAGTCTCCATATTTTAATTTTTTTTTCGACTTAGTCTCTCAAGAACCCCGCCGAAAGAGATCCATCGTCGTGACAAGTCACTTACTACTTTAGCTTTCCAATAAACTATTACTCTACATCAAAACAATCAAGGCAAGACAAAACAAGAAAAATTAAACAGTCAATTATTACAATTACAAACATACAATGAAATATCCCCACCCCACACTTAAAATGAAGACATGTCCCCATGGCTTAAAATTTAAAGAACAGTGAGGTGAAGGAACTTCCCTGAAGGCTCACTCCTGATCGGAGACAATGTCTGGGTTCACGTTGCACGCACATCCCAGCGCTCTCAACCAGCCCAAGAATTTCTTCTCCGATTTCACTTGTCTCTCAGCCACCGCATCAACACGGACACCCAAATCAGTGACTAAGGTACGCAACCCAGCCATATCCTGCTCCAAAGTAGTCATACGGGTGCTCTGGCGGTGCTGTGATGGTCTTGCCACATCAGCTCTCGGAGGAAGGGGAACCTCAGCTACCTCAGCATCATCATCATCATCATCAGATGAATCATCATCAGAGTCATCAACATTCACCACCAGCTCTCGTCCAATTCCAGTTTTTCTCGCCCGAAACGGGACTTTTAGTGGCAATCTCCCATAAACCCGAGGGTCTTCAGGGACTCGAGCAATACGGCACAGCCGGGTGATCAGCAAAGGGAAGTAGTGGCCCTTGGTTAGCTCAGGGGATCTAATTAACATCTCTTCATGGATGAGCCAGGACACATCAAAATCACTGTGGGACATGAAACAGTGGATTGTGGACGCCCGTGGTAGATTAACATCTGTCGTGTTGCTGGATGGCAACAATCGACTGTTGACAATGGTGAGCCAATACTTAGCCCCCCAATTCATAAAGTGGGAGTTGAGAGTAATCCTGTGCTTGATCCATAGGTGTTATCCATCCGGCACACAGATAGTATCAAGAAGAATGCCCCACAAGCCCCGTGTTCCACTAAAAGTACGATAAGGATCAAATTTACCCTGAAACACAGGCAGCCTGTATACCCTGCGGATGGTGTCAAAGGATGCATTTACCGGGGTATTGCGCACCATCACAACCCCACTCTCATGTTCCGGCAAGTTCGCATAGAACTCCCTTACTAGTTGAACATTAGCCTCCTCCGGTACCTCGAAGAAGATGTCCATCTGACACCGCCTCAGCTCATTAAACATGTTGGGGCATTCCACCTCCAAAGCCGTTCGA